ACACGCAGTCCTCATTAGGCTGTTTGAGGGGGGTCCTTCCTTAAGCATTTTCCCCTCCCCTAATATATTTATACACTTCGACAAATCATTTGGTTTCCCCAAAGCTGTTGATAATATCTTCATTTTATGTGGATAGTGCCATTTTCTCTATTTGTTTGTGGGGTTATTCCCTTGTCCTTGGGATAAGCCTTAAGGTGGGAACAGAAAAAAATATTTAAATATATAAGTAAACTGAAAGCTCCTTTGGCTCCCAGGAGTACATGCTAAGAAGATGGTTAAGCAGATTATTTAGCAGTTAATATTCCCTGTCGAAAGAGATCCACTGTTCCAGCTCACAAAAGGTTTCATTCCAGTGTGGTTTCTCTGAGATGTCCTTCACATGCCGTAATAGAATTATTTCAGTGTAGGAAGCTTGTGGGCTACATCTCTTTAATATATTCACATATTTTCTAGCAGTTCACATTCTGTAAACAAGCCTTGATTGGAATGCAATGAGGCTGCCTTTCTCTTATCCAGAGTGTTCTGGAATCATATAACCCTGGATCATTTTATCCCAGGAGGCAGTACAAATAATTTTGCAAGGAGAAATCATGGGTGGCTTATAGGGCAGGGGTGACTGTTGAGGGCCACATTTCCTCAGGGGTACACTCTCAGAGGCCACATGCTGGTTCTGAGTGGGATCAGAGTCAAAACTGAGGACTACATAAAACAAAAACTAGGTAGAAAATTCCCTTCCTTCCTTCCTTCCCCTCTATCTCTACCATCTTCTTTTCCTATTCCCTCCCCTTCTGCCACCCCATTTTTTCCCCTGTTTCTGCCACCCACATGAAATTTAGGTCACATGTGACTCACAGGGCACAGGTTGCCCACTCCTGCTGCAGACAGTTTCTCTGACAAGGACAAGGGTGGAGAACCAGTTCCAGCAGATGGACCAGATCCCTGTCTCCTCACTCCATTGAGCCACTTTGACCCAACTCCAAAGGAAAGCCCAGGAGCAGGCTCTAAATGTGCTTTCCTCTCTTCCTTTGCAGCCTGGTTTGAGTTCAAGCCTTTGCTCCAATGGAACACTTACCCCGCCCCCCTTTGCAGTCGGGTTCATTCATTTTAAGGTGCTTTCAAGGCAAGCTGCAAAGGAAGATTCCTTCTGAAACCACTGCTTTTGACAGGGCTCAGCTACCTTTGTGAATCAGGCTCTCCCAAGCAGGGGTGGATCTACCATGAAAACTAGGTAAAGGACCCATGACCATTAGGTCCAGTCATGACCGACTCTGGAGTTGCGGTGCTCATCTCGCTTTATTGGCCGAGGGAGCCAGCGTACAGCCTTCAGGTCATGTGGCCAGCATGACTAAGCCACTTCTGGTGAACCAGAGCAGTGCACAGAAACGCTGTTTACCTTCCCACTGGAGCGGTACCTATTTATCTACTTGCACTTTGACATGCTTTCGAACTGCTAGGTTGGCAGGAGCAGGGACCGAGCAACGGGAGCTCACCCCATCGCGGGGATTTGAACCGCCGACCTTCTGATCAGCAAGTCCTAGGCTCTGTGGTTTAACCCACAGCGCCAGCTGTGTCCCTACCATGAAAACTAATGAAGCTTTAATTCCAGGGCTCCTAATCCTGGAGGGGCCCCAGAAGCAACTTTACTCCACATTGCTTAAAAAAAATTAGATCTAGTAGATCCAATTTGAAACGGATGATGCAAATAATTATATGATGCAATACACACACACACACCATTTCCCTAATTTTCACCTTCCCCGTAACTTGAAAACTATAAAGCATGGGAATATTTTTTCCCACACCAGTGACTTTGACATGTGTGATAATCCAGTACAGCAGTTTTATTCAGAATCTGAGATGTATTAGTTATTAAAAATAAATAAATGTGATGATCTGTCATGAAACAGCCCCATAACAGTGGTCACCTCTACTTTTAACTAATGCAGGGATTGTGTGCTGATTACTTGAATAAAGTTTATGGGTTTCCACAAGCTGAGAAGTTCTGGGAGCCAGGACATTCGCTGTGGCTGCAGCAGAAAGTCCCTTCCTGCTTTGGAGCCTGTGCCTTTTTTCCAGGGCTATCTTGTCTTTCCCCAATCAGAGTCCTATGCTGTCTCCCTCCCTCTCTTTCCCCTTCCCTCACGCAGCTCCCTGTCAGCAGCTGAGCTCTTGGCATCTTCAACAGGTCCAGATCCTAGCCCAAGAATCCAAGCCAACCAACAAATGAGCCATTCATGAAAGTTCTGCCCATCTCATCCAGGGAGATTTGATGGGGTAGCTGCCGCTTCGCTGCAACAGAGAAAAAACAACATTCCACCCTATTGAATACATCAATTATAGGAACTGATGCTTTGGTGAGCCATTCAGATTCCAGACCAAGGAAGATGCTTCAAGTCTTCCATAAACCTTTGGGACAAGGGGGGCGGGCACAGTCTGCAAACCACTCAATCCACTTGGCTCTAATTGAAATGATTGATTGATAAATTTATTGTCATTGTCCGTATATACACAGTATACACAACAACGAAAATCAAACACCCACCCGAAGACCGGGTTCACATACACATTTGCACGTATCTCCAACACTCTCATCCTATTCAGACATAATCTATAAAAACATATCATACTCCAGAATGTAACATAACCTATTAAAAGCATAACATAACCTAAAAACCTGTCTCATTCCTTCCTACTCCCTGCTTGCTATTTCTTGCAACTGGCCCTGAGATCATTATTTAGTGCAATCAGAGCTCTTGGATAGAAACTATTCAGAAGGCGTGTGGTTCGTGTTTTCATTGTCCTATATCTTCTGCCCGAAGGCAACAGTTCAAAGAAGTTGTGAGCAGGATGGGTGGGATCTCTCAGGATATTGTGTGACTTCTTCAAAGTGCGAGACGTGAAGATCTCATCCAGGGTTGGTAGTTGGAGCCCAATAACATTCTGGGCAATTTTAATTATTCTCTGTAAAGCTTTTTATCCGTTTCAGAGCTGCTCCCATACCACGATAATATACTATATGTTAAGACACTCTCGATGGTACTGTGATAATAGGACAGAAGTAGGTGCTGAGATAGATTCAGTCCCCTGAGCATTCTCAGGAAATACAACCTCCCTGCACCTTCCTCACAACCATATTAATATTTGCAGTCCATGAGAGGTCCTCAGAGATGTAAGTGCCCAGGTATTTAAAACTACCAACCCTCTCCACCTCCTCGCCATTTATGTGCAATGGTAAAAATACGCTTTTCTTTCTCCTAAAGTCAATTATGAGTTCTTTGGTTTTTGGTGTTAAGCATAAGATTGTTTTCTTTACACCATTGAATTAACCCCTGTACTTCTTTCCTATAAGCAGTCTCATCGTTCTCACTAATGAGCCCCACCACTGTTGTATCATCCGCAAATTTGATGATTGTGTTGGACTTATACAGTGGGGTGCAATCAAATGTGTACAGGGAATAGAGAAAGGGACTTAGCACACATCCCTGAGGGCTCCTGTGCTTAATACTAGAGTAGAAGAATAGTAAGGGCCCATTCTCACTGTCTGCGGCCTATCAGTCAGGAAATTCCTTACCCACAGACAGATCTTCTGATGTATACCCAAATTGGTCATTTAAGAAATAACCTGTCTGGCAGAATTGTATTGAAGGCAGAACTGTAGTCCACAAACAACAGCCTTGCGTAGGTTCCCTGTCGTTCTAGATGACTCAGTACAGTATGGACAGCGATGGAAATAGCATCATCAGTAGATCTATTTCTTCTGTATGCAAACTGGAACGGGTCTAGAGTGGATGGAAGACCAGCCTTAATATGATCTAGCACCAATCTCTCAAAACATTTCATAACGACAGATGTTAAGGCTATTGGTCTATAGTCATTGAGAGATACCACCACTGACTGCTTGGGGACTGGCACTATAATCGATGTCTTCAGGCAGGTAGGGACAGAACCCTGCAACAGGGATAGATTAAAAATGTCCGTAAACACACCAGCTAATTCTGCAGCGCAGTCCCTAATAGCCCGTCCCATGATTCCATCCGGTCCAGCTGCCTTCCTAATGTTAATGCTCCGAAAGGCACGTTGTACGTCACAGGTCTGTAACAAAAATGGTTGTCTATCAGTAGTAGTTTCTGATGATGTGCTGGTAGCCAATGCTGTAGTGACGGTAGTTCCAGTTCCCACCTGAAAGCGACTAAAAAATTGATTCAGTTGATCAGCCAGGTGCGCACTGCTGCTAGCCAGTTCGTTTTTAATATTTTGCCCTGTAATTTGTCGCAGGCCTTGCCATACTCGAGGGTCGGAGCTCTCAAAATGTTTTTCGATCCTCCGGCAGTACATAGCTTTGGCGTTCCTAATGCCCTTTTTCAATTTGGCTCTGGCTTCTCTATACTGTTGCGCATCACCAGAGTGGAAAGCAGCATTTCTTGCCTTTAACAGAAGATACACATCCCTGTTTAGCCAGGGCTTGTTGTTAGGGAACACCCGTATTTGTTTGGTGGTAGTGACAACATCAATGCAGCTTTTAACGTAGAACAGTACTGTTGAAGCGTATGTGTCCACATTATTCTCCACAAAAAGCGACCACTCGGTGCTCCGAAAGCAATCTTGAAGTTGCTCAGATGCACCTACTGGCCACACTCGTATCTCTCTAGTTGATGGTCTAATTCTGCGTACGAGAGGTCTATATGATGGTATCATAAGTAAAGATATGTGGTCTGACTGCCCCAAATTGGGCAAGGGCTTGGTCTTGTATCCATGCATGATGTTACTATATACTCGGTCCAGGGTATTTCCCCCCCTAGTGGGACAATCAACATACTGGTGGAACTTAGGGAGCACAGTTCTTAAATCGGCTCGGTTAAAATCACCAGCAACCACAAATGCTCCATCCGGGTGGGCCCGCTGCTGTCTGCTAATAGCAGTTAGCAGGTGGCCCATAGCTGTAGTAGTGTTTGCATCGGGAGGTATATACACCGCTGTTATTATAACAACATTAAACTCACGTGGCAAATAAAAGGGCGGCACTTCACCACTAGGTACTCCAAGTCAGGAGAGCAATGCGTGTCCATTTGTTTGATGTCCGAGCTCCAGTTGTTATTTATATAAACGCAAATTCCTCCTCCTCTGCTCTTCCCGGATTCGGCGGTTCTATCCGCTCTAATTACTGAGCGTCCTTCTAGCTGCAGAAGTCCCTGTGGAAAGGAGGGATCCAGCCACGTCTCTAGAAGGACCATAACACAGCAGTCCCGGATACTTTTCTGCCGAGAGGTAATAAGTTCCAACTCCTCTACCTTGGTTGTAATCTGAATCAGATTACAAGTGTGTAACAATGCAGTGCTATGTCTTCTCAGGTGTATGTCCCACTAAGTTAAAACGGGTTTCCTCCCAAGTAAGTGCATATAGGATTGCCTAATGAAAAACAGATCAAACCCAAAGAAAGGTGTTATTATACTGTAGTCCCCATCTCCCACTCAGCCTGTTTAACAAACCCAGTCCTGAAATATTCACGAGGTGATTATTGCAGTTGCTTCAGGTTGTAGTGACACAGGTTAGCGGAGGAGCTTAAACGCTTCATGCTAATTAATTGTTTAAAGCTCTTGGGATGGTTTTCACCCCAGGGAAGAAGACTCACAAATGCGGACATACTAATTAACAATGGCGGATGAGGCTTGTTTTGTACAGGGCTTCTGGCCAGAGCAGAATTTCATGCTTCCATAACTGCTGAGGTGAGCAAAATTTGAAGTGTGTTCCCCAAACAGGATAATCTGGGATGCAGCCCATACCCTTTTGCTTAGATTGAGGTTTGAGGTTAATGTCAAGCAATTTCACCCAAGTCAAAGTTTTAGAAGTTTTTTTTAGAATAGATCTGAAAGGGAATCTTCTGCTTCTTGCTGAGGAGAAGCTCAAATTATCATTTACATCAAAAAGAAACGAAATGAGCTCTTAGCCACGTTTGTTTATTTGTTTGTTTGCTTGTTTGTTATATGTACTATTGTAAAGTAGTTCATTTATTTCATGACTGTACTATGGTAAAGTAGGTTAAAAGGTATTGATTCCCCCCACCCCAATTATTGCTGAAAAACTAGTAAAGCAAAGTAGAGATTCATCACGGGAAATGCTTGGTTCTGTATTGACAAGTGATGTCGCTTTTACAGCCACTTGTAAAAGTGAGTAAATGATGGGTGCTGAGTCTAAGGAGAGGCAATCTCAAGTGGCCCAAGTTTAGCAGGCGGACCTTAGTTCAACAAAGGAACCCAACGAGCTCTTCACTACTGCTAGAAAAGTAGTGGTGTATCATGTCTATTTAGCAGATAATACCAACCAGCAGTGGGACGCGGGTGGTGCTGTGGGTTAAACCAGTGGGCCAACATGCCATCCCTGAAGTACTATGTCCAGTTCTAGGCACCACAATTGAAGAAGTATATTGACAAGCTGGAACGTGCCCAGATGAGGACAACCAAGATGTTCAAGGGTCTGGAAACCAAGAAAGGAGGTTCTGACTAAACATCAGGAATAACTTTCTGACAGTAAGAGCTGCCCATCAGTGGGACAGGCTCCAAAGTGGATTCTCCTTCCTTGGAGAGTTTTAAGCAGAGGTTGGATGGTCATCTGTCCCGTATGATCTAGCTGAGATTTCTGCATTGCAAGGGGTTGGACTAGATGACCCTTGAGATCCCTTCCAAGTCTACAATTCTATGATTCTATGGATACTTTTTTTTCTCCAGGGAGGTTGGTGGAGTATTCACATATGTGGCTCCAAACCTCAGCCTGAAATGGAGCAGTTCAGAAAAAGCCTTACTGTACTTGATTTTGTTGACTGCATAAACTAGTCCTTTTGTGAATAAGACATAGATGATTTACACATGCTTACTTGGGAATCAAACCACTTTATTTCCAGACTGCTTCCTTCTAAGCAAGAGTGGAAAGAATTGCAACTCACCGTCTGCTCCTGTGTGCAGTAATATGCTTATTTATTTTTTAACACTTTATTTGAAATGCAGACTAATGACCATCTTTTCTCCTTCTAGCATTTGGGGTTATGGACGGCATTTCATATCTCTAAGAATAAATGTATCATGCTTTGTTGCCCTGCATGCAAACCTGTAATTTGTTTAGAATTTATTGGCCTGTAATGTTAAGTTTGATTAATTTCGTTTTATAAGTGCAAGGGAATCCAGACAAAGATAATGAGAGACAGAGGAGAAACACCATTCTGGAATTCCTTGAAACTGCAAAATACTACCATTCAAGCAAAAAAGCAAAACAATACCATTTGCATGCAAAGGTTCGTAGTGGCTTGTGTCGTGTTTGGCGGACCAAAAAAAATGTCATGGTCTCAGATACTTCTCAGCAGTGCATTTTTTCTAAAACATAAAAATTAAATTAAATGTTTAGGGATACTCTCATTTTCCTACTTATATTGAAATACTGCCCCTCAAAGAAGCCAAACCTAGATTCACAAAATGTTTAGGGGTATACGTACCCCTGCGTCGTCCCCCCCAGAAAAAAGCACTGTTTCTCTGTCCCAGAATCCACTGAAAGGAGCAGACAGCTGTAGTCTCCCTGATATTGGGCCACATTACTGAATGGAATGACAGATGTAGAGCCACCCTCTGAAAGCAGGCAGAAACTCCTCTCTGTCATACAAAGAAGATTGACAGCCTCAGAACCCAATTTACTTGTATAAAAAGCCAGCTGCTTCTTTAACCGTTGCAAAGCACTAAGCAGTATTAGGAAGTCGGCAAATGTGCCTGTCATCAGGAAATTGCTTACTCGCAAGAAACCACGCTGAAATCAATGGTGCTACTTCTGGGTAAGTGGACTTTTGTGGATTTCTTCCCGCCCTGTATATGTCTAAATGTTGTCCTCCTTTAGTTACATGATGTCATCTGATGAATGGCTGTATGGCTACAGAGTAATCACACACCATTTGCCCACAAGCGGACTTGTATCATCAACGTTTCAAAAACTATTTTCAGTATCTACCGCTGAACAAATTAGATTTCTAGATGTGGGCATATCAAGCTGTTTTATAGATATGCAAACTAGCTAATTAGCAATCGCCACCAATCTACATAACCTCCTGGTTTAAGGAAACAATGTTAGACTTACTGCTTGACTGTGGGCATAACTAAATAGTAACATTATAGTGAAATTGCTGCTTCAATATATAAAATTAATCCAATCCAAGGGCATGTTACCCCAGTGCAGGAGTCAAGTGAACCAAAAGCCAATGCAAACTAGGCCAGCATTAAAATCAGACACAGCGACTTCAGGAAAGGAAGATAGGACATCTAAATTAGGTGTCACCAATACTTTGGAGCACTTGTGCAAACCAGAGACATGGACATAAGCACTGTCAAGCACACACCACAAGCTAGCCTACTGGCAACAAACAAATGTTTATGTCAGTGCAGGAGGGGACCAGGAAAGGACTCTGCAAGCACATGTGTGCTTGTGGACACTGCAATGGCAAACCCTGACTAGATTCTAAAAATACTGTGAGGAAGCAAACCCATTAATCTGAGGAGAACAGGCTTTCATAATAACACATGCAGGATTCTGGCCATAAAGACAGCTTCTCGTAGATCTTGTTCATACTTTGCAAGCATATTTTGTCAAACTATTATCATTATGCTGCTGACCTTAAAAGCCCTAAACGGCCTTGGCCCTGTATACCTGAAGGCCCACCTCCATCATTCAGCCCGGACACTGATGTCCAGCTCTGAGGGCCTTCTGGTGGTTTCCCTCACTGCGAGAAGTGAAGTTACAGGGAACTAGGCAGAGGGCCTTCTCGGCAGTGGCACCTGCCCTGTGGAATGCCCTCCCATCAGATGTCAAGGAGATGTCAAGGAGAAAAAGAACTACACAACCTTTAGAAGCCTTGTACAGGGAAGCTTTTAATGTTTGATGCTTTATGATGATGATGATGATGATGATGATTATGTCGAAAGCCACCCAGAGTAACTGGAGCAATCCAGCCAGATGGGCAAGGTATAAATATTATTATTATTATTATTATTACAAGTTAAATGTGACTGTAGATGGGACGCGGGTGGCACTGTGGGTAAAACCTCAGCGCCTAGGGCTTGCCGATCGCATGGTCGGCGGTTCGAATCCCCGCGGCGGGGTGAGCTCCCGTCTTTCGGTCCCAGCTCCTGCCCACCTAGCAGTTCGAAAGCACCCCTAAGTGCAAGTAGATAAATAGGTACCGCTTTATAGCGGGAAGGTAACGGCGTTTCCGTGTGCTGCGCTGGTGCTGGCTCACCAGCTGTAGCTTCGTCACGCTGGCGATGTGACCCGGAAGTGTCTCCGGACAGTGCTGGCTCCCAGCCTCTTAAGTGAGATGGGCGCACAACCCTAGAGTCGGACATGACTGGCCTGTACGGGCAGGGGTACCTTTACTAAATGTGACTGTAGTATCTAGATAATTATCTAGGTGTGCGGGCATATGCCCCATTCCACAGCAGTGAACATAAGCAGTCCTGTATACAGTATTTCAGTGCAGGGCACCATTATGCATGCTCAGTGGAATGAATATGCAGGTTTGCTTTTCCTGTTGAAGTGACTAGAATAGATCTCACAAGTAAAGTTGCTCAAAGTTTCCACACCTGTGAAAAACTGCTAAACAACCCGCTGGGAGAACAGCATGGAAACACAGTACGGAAGTTGGTCCGAAGGGGCCAGGCAGAGATGGATACTCAACACAGGTTGTTCTGAAGTCATTCTAACCACTATGGAGATACTTACACTGGTGTAGCCATAGGTACCTCCAGTATTGTTGTAGGCAATATGATGGGAAATGCATTGTAGTAGGAGGGAGGATAGTGAGATGAATTTGGCTTACACGGTCTGGTGCTCACAAGCAGCAGATGAAGGGGTAGACCTGTGTCTGGACTGAACCACTTCAGACTGCCAGTGAACACTCCCATGATTGATTGATTGATTGATTGATTGATTCTATTTCTTTGCTGCTTTTTGTTCAAATAAACCCCAAAGCAGCTTACAAACAAAACATAAAAATAACATAATGGAACATCATGAATACAGCATAAATCATCAGTAAAACAATTCAAAATCCCAAATAAAACAATTACCATCTATGTAACACTATTAACAAAACAACTAAAAAATAAGCTAAACATCACAGTTACACCAAAAATCATATTATAGGATTCACAAAGTACAACAGCATTCATATCTATAAAGCAGTAACAAAACAGTAACAAAACAAACAAAGCCCTGTTGAATTTGCACACGTCATGACTCATAAAGTTTCATTTTATTCAATGCATCAAAATAC